ATGCTGATCCATCCAATGAGCCGCGCGTCTCGAAGCTAGACCCGTGTTCTTTATATTTTGTTGAATCTGGCTATTGGTATGGCTGTGGATGTGGGCGCGGGTGGCCTAGCGACTGATCATCGTTGGGGTCCGCAATCAATAACGTCAGGAGCTCATTGGATCGGAAAGAAACGAGCGGCGTGTTGCGCTGCATGTGCAGGCGTCCTGTCAAACAATATGACAGGTGCGTCCCAAGTGCATCCAACGCAGTTATGGCTTGTGGTGTGGAAGCGGTGTAAGTCTGGGATGACCCAGAAGAGGAAAAGACACTCGAGTTTGCGATGGGTTTGTACGGAGTACGAGGTACATTGGGAGGCACCTAAATTGGACGAGTGCTTGCTTTTGCCTGCAAGGGCTTGTCGCATGGTCTCTGTCCCCAGAAGGATAGGCGCAGAAGTTACATTTGCTAGAGCCAACATGAGAACCGACGGTTTCCATGATCCCATGCACTGGTCGAACGCTGTTGTGGTTTCAACTGAGTTCGACGCGATTTTGTCCTGTGAGGCATATCCAAGTCTCGATTGAAAGAATCCCCTATACCGGCGCAGCAGCCGGGTTACTCATTCGAGGCCTTTCAGCCTCATGCATTGAGTTGGTCGACGCGCGTGGGCGCGACGGCAAGGACATCTTCGGCGCGGTTGGTGCAGCGGCCGCTTCGAGCGGTTTCCAGGGCTCTTCCTCGCCCTCGTCCTCGTCGTCGCTGGAAGACTCCTCGCCCCGGCGGCCGTGACGGTGAGTCTCATCTCTGGACTTGCGTCTGTCACGTAGTTGTTCCTTGTGCCGGGTATCTATGTAATTTAAGTGTGAGTATTTTACTTCAAGTGTGGTTGTAAGATATACATAGTAGAGTGACTTTGACTTACCTCTGATCTCCTGTGTCTTCACAGCATACTGCTGAATTTCCTCCTTGCTCAAAACCCTCAACACAATCACATAATCTGACCGCTCCTCAAACCGCTCATTGCCAGCTTCCAATGCCTCCGGGTTTACGAGCCGCCGGTCGATCTTCGTCCACCGAGCTCCGGGCGGGATCCCCTGCTTATGAGCGTCTTTGAGGGGAGCGACCCCCTCTCTCACCGGATTGGGTTCCTCTGGGAATGCCGGGCGCGGAGCCTTGAGAATTCCCTTTGGAGGAGCGTCGGGTTCCTTTGGAGCAGCCGGCTCGACAGCAATAAGTCTTCTGGGGTCATCTTTAGCCATGTCGACCGGCAGCGATCGTCGCGGCTCGATAGGGTGGCCATCCTCCAGCGCGCGGTGGGAGCGAGAAGAGCGGTATCCACGTGAGTAGTCTCGGTCTCGATCTGGCCTGTGGTGCGAACGGTCCCGACTGCGGTCGCGGTCGTGGTCACTCTCTGTGTCCGTGGTACTGTGCCTGTGACGTGCGGGCTCACGCCTGTAATTTCGCAAGTCTTCATCCGACGTGTCGGCATCATCGCTGTGCGTCCGCCGACGAGAGTGGCGTCGCGTTCGACCATGGCGACGAGCATCAGCGGGATCCAGGTAGGCTTGCTTGGCTCTTTCATCGGCGGAAACTGCTTCTACCAGCTCCCGTGATGGGGGCTGGACAGCATCGCGGTCATGCTCGCCGTGCGGGCGTCTGTGCTTGTGTCGCGGCGGACGGTGGTGTTCGTAGTCCGACATGTCGGAGTATCCGCCTCCCAAGGCCGCTGTTCCAAGTCCCATAGTAGCGAGGGCGCCTGAGTCATGTGGCCGGGAATGGTGGTCTTCTGGGTAGGGGTTCTCCCGGTCATTCGCGTGGCGCGCTCTATAGGCACGTCGGCGGCGGCGCTCATCGTGTCGGGAGGGATATTCGCCATCAGAGTCTTGAGGTACGGCGACCAGGGCTTGATCATGGAATCCATCCTTCGACCTGTGCGGCTCCCAATGGTCATCATTGCCATGCGTTGAGCTTCGCGGCCATTCACGGCCCATCTTGTCAAGGCCCCAGGATGTCGGGGGTGGGCCATGATGACGTTCTCTCCGTGCTGTCCACTGGGGGTCTTCCGCACCAGTGATACTGAGCGGCCGATCGAGCGAGTATCTCGGCCCACGATGACGCGCCTTGACAGGGTAGTCCCGGTCAAATTGCTCACGGGCATTGGTGTATGAATAAGCATCAAAGTCATCGATGTCATCACCTTTTCTCAGACCACCATACGCTGGATAGCGTGGATGAGCCGGTGGATGGACACGGTGGTGATGCGAACTATGATCCGTTCTGTGCCTGGCATCATTTCGTGGGACGATATGGCCCGTGTCGCTTGCATAGTCAGTGCTGTAGATTCGGCGATGTGCGGGATGTCGAGGGGACGTGGAGAATATGTGATGGCCGGAATCTGTGGGAAGAGGGCTCGGGGTACGGCGGTGAGCTGAGTGATGCTGGTGCACGGGCGAGAGATGCTGGCGGGGTGTCGAAGGTACAGCTAGACGCACTGGGGTCTCATAGTCCGCTGCCGCTAATGTGTGGCTTCTGTGCCTGGTACGGGGCTGGACGCTATACTCGGTGCGTTTTTTTGCAGACGAAGTCGGGTCCTGGACTCGATGGGAGGTTATTTGGTGGGCTTCAAGCTTCGATGGTCGCCCTGAGCGGTACCCGAAAGCACTGGCATATCCAGTATCGGACGGGTAGTCTTCGTAATCGTAGCGCCTGGGCGCATCATATGGATCGTAGGATGAGTTTAATTGTACCATCCCGGTTGAAGCTCTCATGGGATCAATCATCGAGTGTCGGCCTCGGCCGGGAGATAAATTTCGGTAGTGACTCGACATTTTGAGGCACTGTAGATGCGATGAGGTATAGATGATGACAACTCCTGGCCGGTTTGAAGTCAGGTGTGACAGTCTGTTCTTCGGTCGGCTTCGGGGGAGTATTTAAGAATCCGAGTCGGGCTTTGTAGAAATGCCCAACCAGGTCGGTTGGCTCGAAGGCAAAGACTTGGTAAAAAGTCGAGGAGATTGGAGTCGAATTTGACACGAGTCCGGGAGCCCAATAGTTGCCCAACTCAACAATGGAGGGGATTCAGAGTGTTGAAACGAAACGTGTGAACAATGACGCAAAAGTGGGTTGGGGATTTGACAAAGGTTAGTAAGAATGCCAAGGAATTCCCACTGAGAATCTAAGAAAGTGCTATGAGAAAGAGAACGCAAATAGATGAAAAAATGAAGAATGTATATAGATACATGTTATCCATGGATCTAGAATGGTGAACCTTGGGAACTGAAGCTGTCAACCATGGAATGTGTCCCCGCTCTATGAAACTCCTTGCTTCATGCAAAACACGCCCGGAGCCTCTTTCCTTGCTTCGCCCGGGTAAAGCCCTGAGACGTTCGTTTGAGGGCGATCTTGAGCCCCATACAAAGGGAAACTATCAAGATATCTTGGCAAAATCTTGAGGAAACCTGAGTATACATTTTCTGAATTCTGCGCTTCTATACATATCGTTTTCTCCCAACGTATTGATCTACAAGAATAGTCGGCCGCTTACATGGCCTCATGTGGACTTTTTCGTAGACCTCCCAGATATTCTTCTGACATATATAACCAGGGCTGACATAGAGGCTGTGCAATTGGGGACTTAGTGGACCATGAGAGTGAGGTCATACATAGAACCATCCTCCAAGGTGGCCTCTGGTTTTATTGAGCATTCTTTTTCAGAGAGTTTTCTTGTATTCCTCATCTTCAGGTTGGAGAGTAGAAACACTACAGGCGATGTATTTCATCATGTTTATGTCCATGGGATCCAATTGGACAGTCTCGCCAAAATCCCAACGAATCTCACTCAGGTACTTCTTTCCTTCCAATCGGTTGGGCTCAATGTAAAACGCAGGCTTCGTCTTAATAAGAGCACATGATTGCCCCTGGGTACTCGATACCAAGGTTTGAATTCAACGAAAAGCTAACCACATAAAAAATTCTCCCTACGAAGTACTAACCCAGTCTCACCCCTGATCACCACGTTGCCCACAAAGGGGTTATACACGGACCCGTACTACCCACGGATTTATTCCTTTTTAGGAACAGCGGGCATTACAAGGATATTATATTGGCATATAATCATCCACTATAATCAAAGCAGACAAAAACTAGGGGACAGGGCGAATCGAGTAGGGCGAAATCCCCCATTCCGATTCACCCTTGTACCCGCGGGGAGGCACGGAGACGCCCCAACCGAGGCGCAGACTCCCCACAAGAAACCCGCACGAAACAAAAATCCGGGCTACTGCAACTAAACGCCTAACAACCCGGTTGCAGTGCAGGATATACTCCACCTGTCCACCCGGTACTAGAAGCCTTACTTTCAATATAGATGGCCCGCCTCAGGTGAAAAGCGGAAAATATGCGTACAGCCCCTATCATGACCCGATTCTCTCCCGAAAACAGCCTGTACACACTCACTAAGGCCTACGCTAATGCCTAAAGCTTCCGGACTCCTGATATCCCCGAGTCCCACCGCAACGTACCATGTCCCGGTACCCAGGCCATGGATCGCTAGGCACAGTGCTAGCGGAGCATGACCCAGGTCGCGGGTTAGTATGTCGTGTCAAATAGACGGGTGTGCCGCCATGCTTTTTTTTTCTCTTGCTCTGGCTGGTTGGTTTCGCATTCGCTTCACTTCTGCTTAAGCATTCCCGACTGCTGTTCGATGTATCTCTTTACCCGCTGGGTATTTACTCCCTGTATTGGGGTTTTCTACCCTGTCCTGCACGAGGGCTTTTGATGCTGTGATGGGAGCCCTGATTACGGGCGCCTGTCCGTCAAAGCTACGATATAAAGATCTCCTCCGTTGGGAGGTATTTGGATGTTCTCACACTGCTTTATACAATAAGACTCCGAATCGGCTCGGGACAACTATATCTACAGCTCCAATCTTTCAGTCAACTTCTTCAAAAGCTTCAATATTTCACAGATCACACTATCTTCTCTATCAATCTGTTTATCCACTTGACACTTTTAAGTCATCATGCCTGCCTACGCCATGTCAAACGCCATGTCCAACAAGTTCCCAAATTCCGAGACCGACAGCGACGGACAGGATCCAACTCCTCTTTTGCATGGCTTGCACTTGACCCAGCCTATCGCTTCCACTTATACCAATGCCATGAGCAGCGCGCTGATATCTCGTGGACGATCAACTCTGGCCCCGTTCCCGGATGCCATCTCCATGCTCACGCTCACGCCCGACTACCTGTCCACCGGCACCCCAAGACTGGTGGTAATATGGAGGAGGTGCTGCCAGTGCGGCAATTTGGCCAATCCCATTCTAGCGCCGGAGAAATGCTCTATTTGCTCGCATTCGGAGTGTGGCTTTTGCACCACAGAGAATGTTCCCGCATAGATTTTACGAGAGCTTGTTGGTTTTCTTGGGGTGTTTGGATTTTAATTTGTTCCTTGCTTTTTTTTTTCTTCCTTTTTTCCACTTACATTTCCAAAATGGCCGTCCTATTTCTTGTGGTTCTTTCTTTTGTTTGTTGCCATTGGGTGTTGTTGCATCTTAGGGTCTTGCCTGGTATACTATTGACGGTTGCCTTGTGTTGATCATGGATAACGTTTAGACACAGTCTCGATGATACGAACGATCAGCCTGCCAAAACGGAAGCCACATGTATTGAGGGGTTATGTAAAGGGCATATATAGGTAGTTATTTGTTTATGTAGAATTTTTGTTTGAAATTGGGGGACACGCTACTCTCATTTTGGATATATATATATATCTCCCATCGATCACATATATAAAAGGATATCTTACCCGTAAACTGAATCGTTCTTTAATTCTAATATAGTAGTGATTCCATTCGAGAAGGCGATAGATCATTGAAGATCTTGATTTCTCTGGGAACCTAGGTGGACGTTATTGATCCAACTAGCAGGCCTACCTACGTGTGGGGCGGAAGATACAAAGGTCAGATTTAAAGATAAATATGATTGCCTATGGTGAAATATATTGCTAGGGTCGGGATAATTGGTGGTAAAGGATGCGTCCGTCGTTGCCTAGCTGTATATACTTGTGTAGTATACATACTCTAGCGTTCTACTGGTTCTGTCTTACAGATATATTGAGATTCAAATGGGGAGAAACATTCTCTCAGGTATTCCACGTTTCGTTATATTGCGTTTAAATAGTCGAGGGAATAAAAAACGCAATAGTCGATACCATTGGATTGGAGTTATATAAATATGGGTGCTGGATGAATGTCGATAAAACCCACCGAGTTAGATAGCGTGAACGTGTCCATTGTGCTGGGAGAACATATTTTCAACCAATCTCTTTCCCTGCCTGGTGAAGTTACCATTCAATGGCTCAAATTTCGAGTATCAAAAGGTCAATGAACTGCTGACCTGGGAAGACCTGTACGTAATAGTGGCATTCAGCCCTACGGTTGCCCGGCGGGTGGCCTTCGGCCTATCGGGAAATAAAATATCCTGACACAGGCAGATCAGGCCAATAAAAGTGTATATAGTGGAATCATGCTGCATTAATTATAAAAGTATCCAGAATATGCACGAAGTAAACCAAGTGCCCCGAACTATTGATCGCTAGGAGGTTTTTCCCGATGGCTATGCCCCGAAGGTGGGGACTGTGGAACTGCCCCGTTCTCGGGCGGCGGGGCCAGTCCAGCCTCCAGCTTTAAGCGGGTCACCACGGGTCCCATGGCAAAATGGCTCTCCATGCTATTGTGATCAGCACACGGGCTCTGTTTGATCGGCAGCAGCCAATCAGCGATATTGTATCCCATGACCTGCTGGAGATTTTTCAATGGGCTGCCCAGGTCGAAGGGATTCTCGCCCGGCAGAGTGTGGAGGATGGCGAAGACGTGGCGTTCGCCCTGGGAGGGGGTTGTTGTTTGTGGACCGGTTGGAGACGACGGTGCTTGGAGTGGGTAGGAGACCATGCGGAATGTCGGAGCCCAGGGGGATTCGGCTACCCACAGTCGCTCGAGAAGGTATTCTGGGACACGGATGGCGAGGGTCCAGACGGCGGTGCGCCGGTTTAGGTTTTCGATTGTTGTGATGTTGAAGATGCCCATTTGAACCGAGCTCAGGGTCATTCCGGCGGTGAAGAAGGCGAATAGGCCGCTCCTAGTGATTTTTATTAGACATGGTAAATTTCTTAGTATCCCCTAGATGGTCACTTACAGTCCAATGCAGACACACCAGTAGGGGTTTGCTCCTCCGGTCTGTGTTGAAAAGTTAGTAACAAGTACTCGGTGAGTTGGCATGGTAGCTCGTGAGAGTCTCACCTCGCGTCGAATCTCCGCTGTAAAATAAGCAGACACTATAAGAACAAAGGTGCAGAATATGGCAGTATAAGCAACGAATTGAATGAAGAATTTGAACGATGTCTCCGAGACCACGCCTCCAACCCTACATTCTGTTAGCTGGATACCGACTTTGTGGTAAGTTGCACGGTTCTATCATACCAAGGACAATAGTGGTCCATTTTGCGGACACAGCGACCCAACTCGCGGCAGTGGTGCGCCCTATCTGTCTTGTACTGACAGCACGTAGAGCACCACAGGGGTCGGCCGTCCTCCTGGCAGACGAAAACATCCTTGGTGTAGAAGCTCTCCAACCAAATGTCTGACTGAGGTATGTCTACAGCAGTGGAGCTCGAGCCTCTCTCCACATCCGCGTCTGCCTGGTTTGGACTCTTCTCCGGATCGGCGTTGCGCGTGCTTTTCTTCCCATGACGGCGCTTCGGTTGCTTTGCGTTCTCGTCATCTACCAGTTTTTGTTCGCCGAGTGGAAGGTATCCGGGATTCCACAGGACATGATAATAGAGATGTATATATGAAACGACCATGGGGATTAAAAGGACGTAATAGATCGCGATGATCGCGGCGCCAGCAGCGACTCGTGGGCCTCGGTTATGGGAGGGTAACGGATGAATTAAATAGTCGACTTGAATTTCATATTGTCAGTTTCCTGGTAAAGAAGGCCAAATTCGCGCGAAACTCACTGCATAATGGTTTCGTGACCGCATAAGAAGCATATACCACAGCGCCGAGTAACACGGGCGGGATGAGCCTGGATACTACGACGTTGACGCGCTTCTGCGCGGGAGACGCCATATATACGGGGTCAATACAACAATATCAAATGCATGAAGGTAACAAATTCCGGGGGGATTGCAAGAAGCCGGATTCAGAGAAGTCGTTGAATCAAACAGTGCAAACCTGACGTAATCGGAGCTGTCCCTGCCCAGGTGTTCCCGTTCGAGGTCCCATGGATCGGGGCATCGGGAGGACCTGGGGGATACCCATACAGATCGCACCTTTACAACGACCTCAGCTATCATACTAACACGGGAAGTGGTGGCTGTACCTAGTATTACTCATTCTATAGGTTTCAGCTGCGACCGCCAGATAACGCCTAACAATGTCAGATCACCTCACACTCTAATCTCTTTTTAGATCTTGACGGTGTTACGGTTGTACTCGATAGAAACTCGATATAGCTAGAAAAGCACATGGCATGGAATTTCCAGGTCCCCAGGTGAGAATTTAAATTAGAAATCAGCCTTCGGGTTTCACAGCATCTCGTAATTTGTTGAAGAAAAATTTTTTTTATCCCAAACTCCAATGATGAATTGTATTTTGTATATTCAGGTATCATAAAGCAATGCCTGGGTGACTTAGGCAACACTGCGAAGGGCGGGACACCTGGGCACCTGATGCCGATGACTCTTCATTTTGGTTTTCGAAGCAGCCGCTGCCTGGAAAACTAGGAAAGAGTGGAGTATACGGCATGCTGTGGAAACCAATTGATTGAATTCATTTTCGCAAGGCATCAATCTCAAAAGGAACTCGAGTTTATGACACCGAAGGTAGACCGTTATTTCGGGGTAAGCGCGTCACTGGAACCCGTTGACACCCATACATTCTCCCGGGTAAGCCAGTTACTTGGAGACGGTGTGAGGATTTGCTTAGCCCTGGATAGTGGATCCCCGTTTGACTCAAAACGTCGGCTCTTAAGAATGATTCACGCATTCCTTACATTCTAGACGCAACTTAGTGGCCTGGGCAATGACAGAGCCCCGGGCTACACTAAGCCACTCTTTCGGGCAACCCATCTGCTTGAATGATGTGCAACCAGGACAACTTGCACCCCATCCGCCCCAATAAACTACCCGGGTGAGAAATTTGGCCTTAACCCGATGTGGTCGTAAGGCAGCCTAGGCTGTTGACTGTTCAAGGGACGTTGCCTTGCGCTTCTGGTTCTATATTACGTCCAATGTAATTCTTCAGATATATAGGTTCGAAGATCCCATGCTTAGTTCCAATTCCATTCTCAAACTCAATCAACATCCAAAAGTATCAGACCAGTCAGACCTTCCCGCTCTACAACTAGAAAGACCTCGACTCTACTTTCAACCAACTCATCCATCCTGCCTTTACTATCAATCCAATCCACCCAACTCATAACAACAATGGCATCTCTGTGGTACTGCTGCGGCTGCAACTTCGGCCCTCACAACTCGTCTCTCTACGAGTCTTGCATCCAGTGCGGAGCTCACCGTTGCGCTCGCTGCGTTGACGAGAAGATCTCCGACAACATGAGTGTTCACTCCCACAACAGCAACCCAATCTCCGCATACCCAGCTGCCGTTCACATGGAGTCACTTCGCACCCCAATCCTGAAGACCACAGCTATGTCTATCGTCGTACCAGAGCTTCCCGGTCTACGACCTCTACCACGGACCGATTGCGCAGGTATCTCGCCGGCCTCACTACCTGGAACGAGGTACAACAGTGAGACCTACATGTACATCTGCTGCGCATGCAATGACGGGCCTAAGATCTACAACCATCAACCCCAGTGCGTGAGCTGCAACCACATGGCCTGCGGCAACTGCACATATGTCAAGTGAGACCTTTTTCTTTTCGAAACACCGTCTCGCTGGCCGAGACAGAGTGCTATGAATACAATGGTAAGTGACTCTAATGCTCACTCAGCATTTCGGTTCTTGAAGCTGACGGTTCGGTATAGTGATTTCAAACTCTACTATTGCTTTTTTTTTTGGAGAATCGTTTCCTTGTTTCTGGAATGCTTTTTGCTATACAAAGCGGGTCATGGGTCATGAGCATATATCCTGGTGTATTATCTGCTTTTCATTTCATTTTGTTTTTTTTTTTTGTTAGACTAGAATTTGTATACTTGCGGATTCCTGATTTGGTTTAGCGCAAGGCCAGCGGGGCTGGATTCCCCCAGGTCAGCCCTGCTCTGCCTTGGCCATTTGATTTTCATTTTGATGTTTTTTTTTTTTTTGCTTAGAATATATCAATATTATTACTATTTTATCTTTTACCGTGGGATCAGTAGAGTCATGATCTTCAAGGCGCGCAGCAAACCCCCTGTTCTGAGCCTCACCAGCCTCGAGTATGGTTGGTTGGAATCATCTGCGGCTCAGATGTATGCAAGCCAGGACTCCAGGGCTAGTCTTCTGTTACCGCTCCTTTGGTCTGGTCTCTGCAACAAACAGCCCTATGGCCCATAGTAAAAAAGCGGTCTTGGGACTGAAGCTAACACAGATGTCCATTAACCTTTGTTCTCCGCTACTTTAACATTTGCCTTTTTTTTTCCCTTTTTGGCTTCTATTTAGAATTTATTTATGCTGACATAGACACAGCCCCCTATGGTATGTTGATGTTATTCCCATTTTCCCTATGTCATTGTCGTAGCCCCCATGGTCACTTTTTAGATGTTGAGGCTGTGTTGGACTGTGCGCCCGGGGATTTTGCTTGGCTTTCCCCCTCAAAATGCGCGCTTGTGCCAGACTCTCGTATATGCTGTAAATTGGCGTAGACGCAAATTACTATATCCACAACTCATCTCGCCTAGCATTTTCCTTGGCTATTTCCTTAGGCTTCTAATCTTTGCCCGGTTGATTTCAGTCCCGGGCGCTGGGCGCGAGATCCATCTCTGGCATGGATATATGGCTGTAGGACCTACGATGTACATACAGACTGTCAATGAATCTAACCGAAAGCGAGGAAGCCCCGGGCCAATTAGCAGGAATCTATTGAATCCAAGACATCCGGTCCGCTGGTCTGCCTTGCCCTGACTCAACTCGTATGGATCTGTTTCTGGAATAGGAACAATTTCATTGTTTTGACTCAAACTGCAAATATAAAAAAATAAATATCAAGCTTACCGTATACTCCATACACTCTATTAATTTACTATTATTATCTCTGAATCTCTGAATCTTGAAACAGTCGCACGAACTCTGGCCCCCATCTCCTCGGTCGGACTCACGCTATACTTAGCTACCAGCTGCAGGAACCCACATCTTCTTGTTCTTATGGGAACTAGGTCTTTCTGCCATGGGCCCGGGCTTAGTTTTTAGATTTGACCTTGTTTCTTGCTGCACTTCTCAGCTCAGTTGGTCCCAGCTGAAAATATATACGACATACGTCGGTTGATCTGGGGTGACCAGCTAGGCTCTTTGCGGATAGGACTTTGAGATTATTTTATTTTTCTTTGTTTTATTCTTTTACGAATGAGTCAATGGTTTTATCGAGTTTTCCAGGGGGACAAGGATGATGGATTGACTCAGAACTTATGCATAATCCAAGCGAACTTTGCGGTGATTGGTGCTTATTTTATTCCCACTAAAGATAGAAAGAGACCAATGGTTGGATAGGAAAAAATACATATTGACTGATTGCTATGAATATGTTCTGCGAAAACCTCCCGAGGTTCTAATGGTACAACAGCACCCGGAAGAAACGTGCGCCTTGTGCAGATTAGCAGTAGCCAGAGCGCCCTCAGGGCTGAAACTGCCGAAACTGCCAAAAGTTACGAGCAGCTGAGATGCAGACGCCCCAACACCTTTTTGTCGGGTCACTGGACAATGAAGCCCAGAGCCTAGATTCAAACAAGGAAAGGAAAAAAAAGAAAGGTGGCCCCAAAGAACCCGAGGCCCCCTATCGCGCAGATCAAATGCAATTGGAATGCAGGGAAGAAAACGCCGAATTGGCTAATGATGCAGAGGAAAAGCCAGGTCATAAACGCGAAAGCCCTGAAAAGAGACCATGGCTTGGGATATCGTATTGAAATATGGATGGCGGTATGGCCATGGTGAGGATGGTTTGAGTCCATGTGGTGTGATGATGTTTTTCCCCCGCCATCGAAAGAACTTCGATGGCGGTGTTCACAAGACTGATGGAAGACAGCTCACCTGAAGAGGACTCTCAAAGGGTCCAATGAATGAGGGAGAATGTTACAGGGACAAGACACGTGACGGGTCTTGGAGGAAGCGCCTACGGTATGCGGCTATCTCGGAGGCCACAGTGTTGAAATCTTTCACCTTGTCACGCCGTAAATCGTTGATGATCTCTTTCAGACCAGCGAGATATGCTTCTTTTTCTTCTTCGGTTTGACCCTCTCGGACGGAGCCCATCTGGACGAGAATCTTGTCGTCTGTCGAGGTTAACGGCTCTGTGGTCAGCGTTCGAACAGGGTAGAAAAGAGATGGGAAACGAGCTGGAAGGAAAGTGAGGAAGGAGAGGCAGAGACGAAGGCAGTAGAGCAATAAACAGAAAGTAGAAACAGACTAGATAGTGCAATACGCCGGTGGGGGAGCTCATGGACGAGGTGGGGTGTTGCACGTTGTTCATGTCGACGCACCGCTTAGAGTCATGTCCCGAAGATGCTGAAACTCGCAGGATCGGTCATTGCAGACACCCCCGGGCTAACTCATATGGACACATGTACTTCATGGAATCAATATTATGACTGTAAGTTAGCGAGCGGTAGCCACTCGGAACGTCTTCGGTATAATGCGGGTGGTAGCGATAAGCCTTGAAAGTTCGTAGTGGGCTGGTGTACGGTGTGAACTTTTGCTCCGAAGTGGCGGACGATGCTTCGGTCTGGATAGGGGTTAGTACATGATCAACAGAAACTTCCTGTGAGAAGGGTAGTGTTCATACGCCAGGAGCGCCAACCTGCAAATCCGACCGAGGTAATGGGTCTGACACGTCTGACATCTGAGGCGCGCTGGTTAGTTCTTCATCAGCTTGAGTCAAGTCAAATGATGGTGCCGAGACTGCTGTGTTTTCTACGAGACCGGAAAGAGCTGGGCTGAATGGAGGAGGGCTGTAACTCGAGCCTTCAGACTGAGCTTCAGTCTCAGGCTCTGGGGGTTCATAGCCGTCGGACTCTGCAGACACTTCACGTCGAGACTGTTCGCTAGGGTGACGCTGAGAAGTGTATTCGTCGGCAGACGTTGCACTAGGACGAGTGATGGCAGAGGGCGAGCTCCGAGTCGCAGATCGCTCTGAAGAGTCAATCTCCATAGGCTCTGAGGATGACGGCACAATAGCAGAATCGGCATCGGCTTGTGCTGGCGAGCTAGCAGGTTCGTCCTCGCTCTCGCTGGACGAATCGGAACTATCACTGCTGCTGTCATCAGATTCCTGCATAGCTGACCCCGCAGAATCGGACTGATATGAAGCCGATGTCTGTGCGGTGCTATCGATTACACCGTTCGCCACTTCATCAGTATAGGCTTCTTCAAGCGGTTCTTGGGTGACAGCGTTTTCGGATGCTGCTTCTAGGTGGCCAGAGGGGGGACCAGGGATGAGCGTATCAGAGACGGTCGCCGTCGGTTTAGTCTTCGAAGAATCTGAACAATGGTTAGCTAAATCGTAGAAATTACCTCGAAAATGCCTGAAAACGAAGATGTGTCCCAGCAAGACAGACACAGAGAGAGAGACAAAAGATAAAAATAACCTTACCTTCTTCAGAAGTAGCTGCGACCACGCTGGATGGTCCACCGCATGACGACGCCCCAGAGTCATCCAGGGTGCGAGGTGACTGGGTTCGGCTGGCAGCGAGCTTGGATTTCCTTCGTAGCTCTAGCTCCGCAATCTTGCGGCGCATAGCTTGAATTTCCATATCTTTGAGTCGGATGTCTCCTTGGTCACTAAGACTAGAAGGGGCTTGTGGCGTGGAGGTCGCAGCCCGGGTGGCAGGAGGATTTGATTGAATAGGAAGCTTGACGCTGGTAGAGGTCACTATTGGCGCTGGTTCCTGTTCTGGGCTCGAATCCAACTCCATGTTGTCGTCCTCATAATCGCCGTAAAGTGATTCCTCGTCGTCGCTGATTGCAATGATAAGTTTATCGGTAGGGTCGAATCGAGCCGCGGCAGGGTTGAAATGCTTCTTCGGCGGTGCCACTGGCTCATCGAAATCTGAAGCCCGAGGGCGCTTGCGTTGGGATGCTCGAGACACTGGTGTCGAGTCAACGTCGATCACTTGTACCGGCTCAGAAGCAGGAGTTTCATGTGGCCCCTGCTCTAATCCAGTCATGAGAAGTCCTGGAAGCCCAGCAGAGCCACGTGATTCAGGCACAGGAGGTCGGAGGGGAAGGGGGTGTTGAATAGCTGGCGCCGGAGTTTCTAACTGAGTCGGCGGCAGACTTGCCTGAGCCAATTTCTGAGTTTTTAGTAGAGTCTGCTTCTTGAGTTCCTCAATCCTCTGCCTCGCCAACTCCGTCTGAGCTTTGCTCTTCTCCTTTACGAGAATTTCCTTCTGAGCCGGAGGGGTTTCCTCAACTGGTATCGCAGGAGGGGATTTCGCACTGCCAGTTGGTGAAGTCTCTTTGGATGTCGCTTTCGCAGCTTTCTCAGCCAGCATGCGGGCGATAAGTTCCTTGCGCTCCAAAGGCTTGCCAGATTTTGAAGGAGTGGCGGTGGATGGAGCAGAGGGTTGGGCATTTGGCAGGTCTGACTTCGTGGTGCTGTAGTTATCCTTCGCTATCTTGGTCACTTCAGCTGGTTTGTTAGGTCCTAGTTCCTTGGTAGCAACTGTAGACGCGGCGGACGCCTTCTCACGGGCTGGTGGAGCTTGCCCAGGTGAAGTGGCGACCTTGATGCCGACTTCTTCGTAAAGGCGTTTCAGGATCGTAGGGTCGATACCCTCCGCAACCAGTTCATTGTAGCGGATATTATGTGGCGCCAAGCTAAGCAAAGCGCCTTGGGCTTGAATTCGTAGCTGTGCCACCGATTTCTGAGGTGGAGGGGCTGGGACAATTGCAGGCGGGTCCTGTCGCTGAGACTGCATCGCATGGTGGACCATGCTTGCGTCTGCTGAGATGGACAAAGGAGGGTTGTATGCTGCATAATATTAGTAAAACATTATCAAATATGGGGAAGAATGGGTGTGATACGTGACCCACTACTCCTAGCAGACCGTGCGCTAGAAGATATGGTTTCTCCTTCTTCTAGGTCCAGATACTGGCGCGTAGCCTTACGCGCCGGCTGTAGTGACCTTGCATCCGATTCCTCACTAACTTCGCCCTCCTCGCGGTGATTATCTGCAGGAGCTGGGACATCTTTTGAAGGCACGGCCGGTGTTGATAGTTGGCGTGAGCCACGTCCATCCATACCCTGATATGACACGGGGCCATTTGAGGACCTTGTTGGCATTGGGGGATAGCCCATCGGGGCAAACGGCATTGGAGGGAAAGGAGGTGGAAATTGTGAGGCGTCGAAGTGATTGAATAAGGGGAACGGAGGTGGGATGAATGCTGGGTTTCCAGGGCCATTTGAACCTGGGATTCGCGAATTCGCGTTGATGCTTGCCATGTTATAGTCGAAGGTCGACCCAGGATTTGTAGCTGGTGGCTGGGTCATATGAGAATAGCCTGAGCTGACAGGGAAGTTTGGGGGGATCATCGAGGGATATGCAGGAGGCCATTGTTGCGCATAGTTCGGATGGCCACCGTATGAGGGAGGTTGGTCAGACATGATGATGTTGTGCGCAGGGATGAAAGAGATGTATTCTCTACGATTCTGAAGAGCGTAAGGCTGGAGTTGAAGAAAGATCGCAATTTCAAAGACCAAATCTCATCATGTCTTGAAGGACTAAGCAGGTGGAGAGGTACCGGAAGGTCTTCGGGAAAAGGATATGCAAGACTTGAAGTTAGAAATCACTGGGCGATAATGATGTGACGGCGATGTAGAGAGAAGAAAGGGTCACACAAATTGTGGATTTCAGCTTAGAGAATGAGAAAGAGATGGATAAGGTTGTTGAACTCGAGAAGAATTGAGATACGCGGTCTCCTATAAGGTCTAAGCGTCTTTGACAAAACTGATCAAGTGTCTCACGTGATATATGCACGGGCCACCTGCGATCGGCGGGCGCCCGAGGAACGCAGAGTAAACAAACATCATGGACATTGGGGTGCGTCACTTCGAACATCTTACCTTTTCTTCCAACTTTTTGCCAACTTCACACCCCTCCTAATTGTATTCTACTTGGCTTCCTCGATTTTGAGTTTCTTCTTACACTCACCTACACTACAATTACACAACTGAGATTACGGAATTAATCTTGGCTATGATAACGACAGCTGCGCCCAAATAATGTCCCATTGAACTACAATCGCCATGCTTCCCTCCCAGTTAAACGACTCGCCTAAGCGTGCTAGTCTATTTGCACGTCCATCGCCTTCACAGGGAACACAATCACCGCAGGCGAGGCCCAAATCAACCATTATTACACCATCCCATGGGCTAGAGTCAGCGAGAGGTCATCTGCGCAACTCGTCCATGTCACAGTTGTCCCCGTTATTATCAATAAGCGGAAATCGCGAGCGATCGAACTCTGCAAAGAACAGTCCTTCCTCCGGAACATTTGCCCCAAGCTTTATCAAATCCGAGGAACTACGACGGGGAGCGGATCAAATTCGTGGACTTGAAGGAGAAAATGACTTCTCGGGGAACAAATATGTGTGGCTACGAGATCCTCAGAAGGCTTTTCTGCGGGGCCTGGTTCTGGAGGAATTTGAAGGAGGGGGCCTATTGGTGCAAACTGACGATGGCGACGTATGGATGTAATCCCATTACGAAGATAAAATGTGCTGACACTGGAATAGCAACGAGAAGTAGATGCGGATCAGGTCGACAAAGTTAATCCTGCCAAATTTGACAAGGCAGACGATATGGCAGAACTCACACATCTGAACGAGGCATCTGTGGTGCATAATCTGCATACCAGATACCAGTCAGATTTAATCTATGTTCGTCACACCCGGAAACATGCACACAGATCGTAACTGACTTAATGACTGCATAGACTTATTCTGGACTTTTCCTGGTAACGATCAACCCGTACTGTCCGCTGCCAATTTACACCAATGAGTACATCAAAATGTACAAGGGCCGCGGGAGAGAGGAGACCAGACCCCATATTTTTGCCATGGCAGATGAGGCATTCCGAAATCTTGTTGAGGAGGGCCAGAATCAAAGCATCCTTGTAACAGGAGAGTCTGGTGCAGGCAAAACAGAAAATACGAAGAAGGTTATCCAGTACCTCGCCGCTGTCGCCACTTCTGATACGCCTTACGGTCGGTCTGGAGCGAAGCAAATCACCGGTCTTTCGCAACAGATTCTACGGGCGAACCCTATTCTCGAAGCCTTCGGCAACGCCCAAACGGTCCGAAACCACAACTCGTCCCGGTTCGGAAAGTTCATTCGCATTGAGTTCTCACGTGCAGGCCAAATTTCCGGGGCTTGGATTGATTGGTATTTGCTTGAGAAATCAAGAGTCGTCAAGCCTAATCCTAACGAGAGAAACTATCACGTTTTCTATCAGCTTCTCCAGGGCGCAGACCGCAAAACACGCGAGAAACTTCTTCTAGCGGACCTTCAGATCGAGGATTTTGCCTATACGAGAGATGGAAATGACTCTATCGTCGGCGTCTCTGATCAGGAAGAATGGAACTCATTGCTGGAAGCTTTCCATGTGATGGACTTTGACGAGGAGGATCAGCTATGTATCCTGCGGACCATCGCTGCTGTCCTGCACTTGGGAAATGTGGGAGTTGCGAAGGCAAGTGTGCGCGCAGACCAGGCAACTCTGGCACCTGAGGGATACTCTAGCGTGGAAAATGCTTGCCACCTTCTTGGAATTGAAACCGAAGCTTTTGTTAAGGGTCTTCTGCATCCACGTGTTAAGGCCGGCCGTGAATGGGTGGAGAAGGTCCAGACGCCAGACCAGGTTCGCATGGCCCTAGATGCACTCTCGAAGGGTATCTACGAGCGCGGATTTGGAAATCTTGTGGCTAGAATCAACGGCCAGCTTGGCCGCTCGATGGCCAGTGACGACAACTATTTCATTGGGGTCCTTGATATTGCTGGATTTGAGATTTTCGACAACAATAGCTTCGAGCAACTCTGCATCAACTACACAAACGAGAAGCTTCAACAATTCTTCAACCACCATATGTTTGTTCTTGAGCAAGAAGAATATGCGAGAGAGCAGATTGAGTGGCAATTCATCGACTTCGGGAAGGACCTGCAACCAACAATTGACCTCATCGAGATGACCAACCCTATTGGTATTTTCTCTTGCCTCGATGAGGACTGTGTCATGCCTAAGGCCACGGACAAATCATTCACAGAAAAGCTCCATGGCCTTTGGGACCGCAAGACTCCAAAGTACCGCGCATCTCGTCTCAATCAGGGCTTCATTCTCACCCATTATGCCGCAGAGGTTGAGTATAACACGAGTGATTGGCTTGAGAAGAACAAGGATCCACTGAACGACAACATCACACGCCTCTTGGCCGCATCGAAAGCACCGCACGTAGCACATCTGTTCTCCGACTGTGCAGACTTGGAGGAGGACGGTGGCAATCATCCTCGAAGCCGTGTCAAGAAGGGCTTGTTCCGCACAGTTGCCCAAAGGCACAAGGAACAGCTATCTAGTTTGATGGCTCAGCTCCACTCAACCCACCCTCATTTCGTCCGTTGTATTCTACCTAATCATAAGAAGCGGCCAAAGATGTTGCATGCCCCACTGGTATTAGATCAGCTACGATGCAACGGTGTCTTGGAAGGCATCAGAATTGCTCGTACTGGATTCCCCAACCGCTTGCCATTCACGGAGTTCCGACAGCGGTATGAGGTCCTTTGCCAGAACATGCCGAAGGGGTACTTGGAAGGACAGAGTGTCGCGCGCACTATGCTGGAAAAGCTTGGCATGGATCGGGCTTGGTACCGGGTTGGCCGCACCAAGGTTTTCTTCAGAGCAGGTGTTCTGGCCGATCTAGAAGAGAAACGTGACCAACTCATCCGAACTATCATGTCTCGGTTCCAGTCTGTGGCGCGTGGATTTGTTCAGCGCCGTATTTCCAACAAGCGACTCTACCGCGCCGAGGCAACTAGGATTATTCAACAGAACTTCCACGCTTACCTAGACTTGAAGGGGAGCCCATGGTGGCGCATGTTCTCAAGAATGAAGCCTCTACTGGGCGACACGAGAAATGCGAAGGAAGTAAAAAAACGTGACGACAAAATCCAACAGCTCGAAACCAAGATGAAACAGGATCTTGCCGATCGCAACAAGCTGGACGAAGAAAGACGTCGGACTGAGATCGAGATCCAAAAGATACAGCATACTTTGGAAAGTGAGCGTGCACTTGCACTAGATAAGGAGGAGATTTTCAAGCGACTGCAAGACCGAGAAGTGGAGCTCGCCGACAAACTTGCCGGTGCAATCGCCGACCAGGAAGGCCTCGAAGAGCAACTGGATGAATTGGTCGATGCAAAGAGGAGGATAGACGACCAGCTCCAACTTCGGATTACCCAGCTGGAACAGGCCGGTTTGATCATTCAGCAACTCGAGTCAGAGAAGAACAGTCTGCAGTCTCAAATCAAGGAGCTTGAAAACAAGCTTTCTGAAACGGAGGCCCAGTTCTCTGGAAAGAACGGCCAAATCCAAGACCTTGGCCAGGAGATCAAGATGCTCCAAAGCCACCTCAGCTTGAAGGATCGTAAACTTCAAGATCTGGAAGCTAAATTGTTGAAGACCGACCATGATCTTGAGATGAAGCTCGTAAACACTTCCAAGGAGCTCGACAATTCCAAGAAACAAATCCGCGATATGTCTGAAGAGAACAGGTTGATTCGTGATCAGATTTCCGAACTCTCGAGTACTTCTACGAGCTACGAAGAGATGCTTCGTCGAAAGGAGAGCGAAATCGCAGTTCTTCGGAAAGATGTTCAGAAGCATGAGGAAGAGAAGAGAAGTGCTGAGTCCGAAAAAGCTTCCCTTTCGACACGCCACGACAGCATGCAATCTAGACTCCGTGAGGTACAGGCCGAGAGAGATGCAATGCGCTCCGAACAAACTCAACTTCGACGCGAAGCTGCGGACCTCAAAAATCTTCTTGAGAACAAGAGATCAGAGGACGCTGAGGCTGGGGAGAGCCGGAAGCTGCTAGAGGAACAGATAAATGGCCTCAAGAGCCAGCTATTCCAGGCCCAAGCGGACCTGAGCCGTGAACGCCAGTCGCGAGATGACGTGCAAATGCTTTCCGAACACAATCTCGCACAGTTGACTCAGAAATATGAGACGCTCAACGAATCTAAGATTACTATCGAGAAAGAGATGTACATCCAGCAAGATAGCTTGCGTCGCGCTACAGAGGCGCGAGTTGCGGCAGAAACCACAAGAAAGGAACTACAAACCGAATTGATTAAGCTCCGCGAGAGGTTCACGAACGCCGAAACTGCCCGCATGAATGCCGAGGCCGAGATTGAACGAAAGATTATGAGCCAGGCCGAGGAGCGTATGACAAGTTCACGCAAGGACCTTGAAGAAAAGGCTCGCCAGCTTGAAGAGGTTGAAATAGAACGATCGCATCTATCAGGGCGGATTCAAGAGTTGATGCAGTCAATCTCTGAATCTGACAACTTCCGTCTGCGCCATGATCAGCACAAAGAGCGCCTTGAACGAGAGC